AAACCCTTAAAAAAAGTCTCTAAGAAAACTTCCACATAGGAGAAAGCCATCAGACTTTCCTACTTTTCATTTAGGATGGAAACAGCCACAAAAACCTGCACAACTTGATATGGGAAGAAGTAGTTCTGTCAATAAAATGCTTTTATATGGTTGATTTGTTCACTAAAAAGAATGTGGTAAATTTATTTTTTTCTGTGGAGAGAATTATTTTTTTCAGTTATATTTTGTCTTTCAAGAGAAAAAAATCTGACTCATGCAAGTTTTGCAAAAACACAATGCACCCTCACCTCAGCACTGTAAGTGGGAGTTAGTAGAGATTTTGAATTGACACACTTCTCAAAATGGTTAAAAAGAATACACAATAAAGCAAAATGGCATGCAAGAAACTGTGCAGACTGGAGATTTTGCTTTGCTTCCTTAAATAATCAGTGCAAGACACAGTTTCCAATGATTTGTGATTATACGAGGATATTGAGTTAATGCAGGCCTGTGAGGTCTCAATACATTATGACAGTGTTACTAGTGGAAAAAGTGGGAATAAGAGCTACCTCCTTCATCAGATGGCCTTGTTATCTCACTGCAGTAAGAAAAGGTAGGGTTCGTGTCAGAACCATCTGATTTATAATCTCCCAAACTTGTAGAATGTAAGTACTGCTTACTGTAGCGGCTCGCTCTTTCTACAAAGGTAGAAAGAAATAATATCACAGTAAATAGATTACAGAAAAGAAAAGCACAATAACAGCAATAACAACTACTGCTAACTGATATTCATACACTGATAGTGTTTAAATTAGACAAAAATGAATTGTACAAAATTTTGTCTGTATTTTTTAACATTATTAGTTCAGAAAGTTGCTTCAAAATCAGAAATAATGAAGTTTGTTCTCTGGTTTAAAAGAATAGCTGAAATGGTAGGGTACTAAAAAAAAAAATAAGAAATTAAGCATATGAAAATTTCCAGTGGAAAATCAAAAAAAAAACCCCGCATTCAACAAGTGCATGTAGGATGCTGGACTGATAACTGATATTTAGGGTTCCACTTTCAGTGAAAGTGAAGATAAATATGCAAAGCTAAGCTTTCAAAATAAATATATTTTAAAAACAAACAAAAGAACCTGTTGAGCCAATACATTTTTGCCTATTACATTAACATCCCTACTTTTCCATCTACCCTTAAATTATAAACAATGATAAATTATTATCCTCAGAAATACAAACAATAGCATAAGAAATAATATTGTGCTACAATAAGCAAAATTTTCAGAGAAAAAAAATCAACCTCATTAATATGCCAACCTTTTATATCTCTAAAATTGTAGTAATGTCCAGCTATTTGAAAATCTTACATACAATGAGGACTAAGAAGGTCAATATTTTTTAAGGGATTATTCCTAAGTATGAGTAGGTATGAGTAATTGTTGGGGACAAGATTTCTTTCACTATTTCTTATCTGAACATGTGATTACGGCTGAAATTCCTAGAACATACTTCTATAAAGCACTTATATATATATATACAAACACACACATATATGCAAAAACAAAGCATACTTATAAAACAGATGGCTGGCATATTGACATGAAAATTTCCTGTATCAGCTTTGTTTCATAAACAACAATTAAAAAAAAAAAAAAAGTGGATTTGGTGAAAAGTCAGGATATAAGCAATACCAGAAAGCATATGCAGACTCCTAGACTGAATATTGTCCTCCAGAGGATCAATGTCGAAGATGGAGCCAGGATCTGTGCGCCAAACCTTAAGATCTTTCCCCAAAGCACAGAAGTGATAGGACAGACAAACAATAAAGGAAGTAAAAGTATGGAAGCAGTGAGTTTTAACATTCACCTAAAAATTAACTAAAACATCAAGATGTTCACCTGAAAGGACTCAAAAAAAAAAAAAAATAATTTCCAGCTTAAACTACTAGCTGTATCTATTTTAAGAGCATTTGGCGTTATTTAGAGACTTCTCCATTTTTGTTTTTCCTTTTCTAAATATTAATATAGTGTTTTCATAAGTCTAAATAAGTAGAAACACGTTAAATATTACATAATAGTGCTCTTTTCCACAGGAAAAACAGAATTATCAGAACTACAAGATGATTTCTCCAGACCACCATCAGTATCCTTTGTCCACCTCTACAGCAGGACAATACACATTATCAAGGTACGAGCCTAAGGTCAACTTTACAAATTGGCTAAATAAGCAGAATCAAGGGTATACTTCATCTTATTCAAAATAAACTTCTAAAAGTTGCTCAAGTCATTTAAGATCAGAAGCATTTCTCTTTCCTCACTAATAGAAAAAATGAAGTAGAGTAACAAATCCAGCTGTAGAAATCTATGTTTTAGACATCTACATTTGGGTAAGATGAAGCCCACTCCTGACCTTAAGTAGTAATTCTCCTTGTCTTTCAAACAGCTAAATTTCCAGGGATGTGAACTTAATGTTGATCCATTACCACAGTATTGAAAAGCATTTTCGAAATTCATTCAATTCAGTAACCTACAACTTTAATTCACACAAATAAATTATTAATATCTCTCAAATTCTGAACAGGAATATTGAAAGAAAAAGAATCCATGAGAAAAAAACTCATTTCATGTCTAAGCTCTACTTATAAACACAGCATAAAATAGAACACAGATTCAAGCATTGTTTTCATGATTTTTTAACAAATAATTAGGGTTCTGTACAAGAGGAAGCTTGTAACAAATGCATAAGCAGCTCCAGTGTGACTTCTCAATCTACTCACAGCACTCTGTAATATACACAATTCATTACTGCTATGACAAAAAAAATAATAATCCCTTAAACTCTCAAAAGTGGTTTAAAATAAAATTTTTATATAAAGCATAATCACTTAAAGCATAAATATTTCAGATCACACCCTTTTACTAGTGATTTGTTTCTTGGGCAGACCTGTCTTAAAATTTACTCAGATTTCCATTGGGAAGTGGGAAAAATAACTGTCTTCCCTACTTTGCCTATTTGAGTGGTACAAAGCTAAATAATGGGTTGGTAGGTAAAACAGGACTGTGGGGACCCCAAATATGTCATGTTTCAAATGATTAATGGAAATGGAAAGAACAGTCAGAGCTAATGAAACAAATCCTATGGCCTTGGAATATATTCAGGTTATGTACATTATGTATTATCTATTTTCACTCCTATAAGGTGAAGTATAATGCCAACAACTTTGTCTTGACAAAAGGTATAAAAGCCAATGTACAATCTTTTCATAAACTATGTGCAAGTCCTAATGATGATTAATTACACAACCACATAAAATACCAACAGACTTGAGAGGGGTGGAAGAACTGGTGAGTATCTGCCTCTTTCTGTTTGCTCATGCCTTGATAAGTAAAAAATCTTTAAAAGTATGGCTTCACGGCAGCATGAGTGCAGCAGCCACTGCTTTGTATTGATTTTACCTGTCTTTGTAATCTGAAATACCGTACAAAGAATCAGATCTTGGCAATTTGTAGCACTTAACAGTTTTAACATCCTGTCAAATTATGTCAATTTCAAATACCCTTAAACTCATGTGAGAATCATGAAGTCTCTTTTGTCACAGAGCCAGTGCTCAGATGGATTAATTTATCTTGATGGCTTGAGATGGCTTTAACGTGGCTAAAACTAGTGCCTATTTTCCTGAGCACAGGTATTAATTTTAGCAATCAGGCACTTGAAAAAGATTGTTACAGCTTCACTGATAATACTTAAAAACCAACCAGATGAATTCTAACAGAGATACTTTTTCTAACTGGTTGAACTTTTATCAGCTACAAAAAAACTCAAGAGTCAGAGTAGGTTTTTTTTTGCAGTCTGCAGTTTTTTTTCCAGCTGCCAAAGACATTCCATGAACAGGAAGCACACTACTGCTTTTTAAACAAGAAGATACTATAATTGCAGTAACTCTGAAAAAGCCTGAAGCTGAAATATCACCGGATATTAGGCTCTTAGGTTTGTCATGGCTTATTTCCCTTAAATAGTGGCACTATTTTTGCTGTTTTGGTAGGTATGGATAGCTAAGAATTTTTGTCTGTTTCGATACAAAAATATTCCAGGTTGATAAACAGTAATAAAAATTACTAATATTTCAGTCACATAGCTCAAAAGAATTTCTCAGAAATGTTTTTAATCCTAATCTGTTTGTGTTAGCAAGTCTTCAGTTACTGAACACAACATTGCATTCATGATTCTCACTTTGGGGTACAGCACAAATGCAATGCAGAAAAAGGTTTAAAATATGCACTGAAGTGCACGTTAAACTGCAATCTTGCAGGTGCTTCTCCTTCTCTCTTTGTCTGCACCACCTCTAGCTACGGAAGTACTTTATCAGGTGTTTGGGTCTGTACATACACTGATTTATCTGAACAAGTTGTTGCCTAGATCCAGAATGGATCTGTGTTTGGCATAGAATGTGTGGCTCTCTGAGATTTGCTATTGCAATAGTTTGTCTCCTAACACAAAAGTAGTTTGCATCCTACACCCAAACACCTGGTCTTATCTTATATCACCTTTTAGAACATCAGTTCTGAATACTGGTTTCTGGCTCACTAGAGATCTACCAAGTTTTTCATGAGTTACATCTTGTACTACTTAAAAAACTGTGAAATTCTAAAACAAGTAGTACATGGACTAATGTCAGCTCTAGAGAAATAGCTTACTGGTCTAAGCGGAAATCTGATCTGGTCTTCCACATTTAAATCTTGGAGAACCACCACTTTAATCATTGTTTTTCTGTGCCAAATGAAGGAGTCAGTATTCAGAAACAAAGCAACAACATTGGGTAACCATATTTATAAAAAAAAAAAACAACCTATTACTACTTCCCTAGAAGCTGGCATTGAACCACCTTCAACACAAGTTTCACACTGAGAAAAGAGCGAAAATGAAATTTGTGAGCAATTTTTCTCTGTTGTAATGAAGAACATGAGCAAAAACTTTCATCTTTCTCAAAGTATTTTGGATAGCAGCATTATTTAACAACTTACCAACAATTATTCCAGGTCTTCTATCCATTTCAACTATATGTGGATGCACCCCTTTGTATGCTGCATCACTTACAACTTGGGTGTTTTTCCGCACCCGCTCTGTTATAGGATCATCCACCACTGGGGTGAAGCCTCTGCCCTTTGTCTTCTCAAAATCTTCATGATATTTAACCTAGGAAAACAAGAGGAATCACATTTTTCCAAAGCAGCAATTAAAAGCAAATGGTTATTCTAGGCATATTTGTTTCTTTATGACGCACTACATTCTTTCGGTTTTGCACCACAACAGAATTGTTATACACAGGAGATACAAAAGATTTGGGCAGGCCATCCAGACTGCCTCCCTGACCTGATATTTTATTATCACTTTTTCATTTGTTTTGCATTGTCACCAAGTAAGACATTAATTCAAGTTTCCAATCACAGAAACCATTAACAACAGGAAAAACCCTCAGGAGATCATCAGGTCCATACTCTAAGATTGGATAGCTCTCTGATGGTGTAGACAACTACATCTGTCAGTGAAAATGTTCCACTAGTAACAGTTCTTCAGAACTCAAGTACTTTCATTCGCTGAGAATTTTGATTATACACACAGGTTCAAAAAATGAAAAGGAACTTTTCTGCTCTTTGGTTTTATCATATGATCATTGGCTTTAAACAAAAACATAAAATAAACATCAGAACTGCACTTTTTTGAAATCCACTTTAAAAAAAAATCTAAAGAAATTGAAAACAAAGACATTAAAGTAGAAAGTGTTATATAACAAAGTATTGGAACAAAACCAGTATTAGTAAGAGTTATACAGGTTGTATCCCTGATTATATTTACGTTTTTTTTTTTTAATCTTTAATCATCAAAGATTTAAAAATGACAAACATTCTCACACAAGCGAATGCACACAAAACAACTCATTCCAGGAACAAAAGTCACACAGAAACCAGGAACATGCACAGGCACAAGCTGCAGTGTGTCACCTAATCCAGTCAAACTGTGTGATGCTCAAATAAGGATTTCTTTTAAAGCAAGAAAAAAAAAAAAAAAAAAAGAACAGACATTTATCTGTTAGAAAACTGTTTATTAGTATTTTGAAAATGTTCATTACAGTCATATGCAGTTAGCGAACACTCCCTTAACAGGCATAAGAAGAAAATATTCCTTCCATATTTGAGCAGAGAGTTTCATTAGTTACCTATATTAATGGAAGGCAAAATCCAGTGGAAGTCAAGTGCCATTCCTTAGTATATTCTAGTTATAGGAAGAAGAACCCTACCATTGAGATGTTGTTTTGTGTTTCTTTGACATGCCTTAGCTCAGGTGTGTCTAGAATCACACTACGTCTACCTTTCATCTGCCTCTGATCACTGCTGTACTTCACCTGCAAAACAGCAACAACATCACACATGAAGATTTTGTTTAAAGGAGAAGGGATGGGGAGAACCACACTATGCAATGGCATTCCTTCCAAACCATAATGTCCAAGTTTCTTTCTTTATACTCATTTTCTAGTGACCTAATTTTGAAAAGGGGATATGGATGGTACTGTTAAGACCAAAGGGCATGTTTATTCCATCAGTCACTTAAAAATAAAAAAGTAAAAAAGTTACCTGAAAGTTGAAACTCTTGACTTTTTACTTTTTTAACACCATAAATGAAATAACTCTTTTATCAGCTGTTAAATGGTTGTGAGTTAGGGTCAACGTAACAACAAAACATCACTGACTTGTCTTGGACACTTTCAAAGCATACATTTATGGCTGATGACAACCCAAGCAGACCCAGATTCCACCCTCAGTCTACTTCCAGATCAGGATTAGCATAAGAACCCCTAGGTCACTAGGGAATTCAAATGGTATGAGCCAAGTACTGCTTTGGAAGCCTTCTTACTCCAGTTAGGTAGCTAGCTTTTGCTTGCTTTTGCTAGCAGCACAAAAGCAATGCCTGGAACAAGACTGAATGTGGTGTACTGTTTTCATTGAGAACGTTCAAAGAGAACATCTGTGCTTTATGTAGCTTTAAGTACAAAATGTCACATTTCTCTTAATGAGCTTCTTCTGTGACATTTTACATACTTGTGCTAGAAGTATAGACCCATGGTTAATTATCTTAGGGGAAAAAAAAAAGAGGAAAAAAAATCCCACATTTAAAACTATGCAACAGTAAAAGTAATTGGTTTTCTTTGCCTACTGAAGGCTTATGGCTTCTTCTGAATATAAACAACATTGTCTTTTTGCATCATACTTTTACTAATGGACTCAACTCCTAGTTTGTATTGTAACCTGTGTACTGAATGTTAGTAAATATTTTAGAATTACCTATAAAACTGTAATAAATGTATTAGTAAATATATTTATCTCAGACCTTAAAAATGCAGAGATTTTCTAACTCCACTTTAAGACTACATATTAGCTAAGCACAGCATACCTATAAAAATATAAGCTTTGGAGTAATGCACAATAATACATACAACTGGGTTATTATTCAAACATTTACTTAAATGCCAATTTTTCTTAGTAAGAATATTCAGCCTTTGAATGCTTTATAAAGTATTCCCTGAATAGAACAGCTATGGCCAGCACAATTTTGCTTTCATTTTGGTCAATAAAGCAGATGAGTATTTATCCCTGTAAATATTGAGACACAAAGGAGTCAACTAGGAAAAAAAAAAATTATCAAGAATTAAAAAAATATTTAGAGCTTACAATTTTTGGGAAGTTTTCCTTTTATCTTTATCAATGAACCCAAAACTAATTGACTTTGAGAACTATCTTTGAGCATTTTTAAGAATATACTAAAGATATATGTAATTACCTACAAGATCCTTAAGTCCTTTGACAAATTCAAGCTACTTTACTCTTCAACTATACAATTAGTTCTAGAATGTTCACCACCTTTTACCTCTCTTCTTCCACCTCAGACAGCAGCTTTGCTTTTGGAAGACTATTCTATTTTACATCTGTATTCTATTTAACATCTACATTCTATTTAACATCTGTTGGGGTTTTACCACTGTCTGCTGCTTCTTACTACTGCTGCGACCTCTCCTGTGCCCCTCAAAAAAGCCAAGATAAATAGCAATCAAATAAACTAAGATAAATATAAATACAGATAAAGATAGTATCTTACCCTTTCTTATCTATTTAGGACTACTCAACTTTGCTGGAGAGTGGAATGGATTACTATATGCTTCCATGCTCTGAATCACCAAAAAAAAAAAAATCTGCACTGAAGTTCTCATTTCCTTTATCCATATTCTTCTACCATAATTTACTCCTGAAATCTAGCAACTGAAACTTGGTAAGAAGAGACAAAGGTTCTTGAAAGAATGACAGATCTCTTACATGTTTTGTAAGAAAAATCAAAAGTCTTAATATTTTTGTTGCCCATTACTGCCGTCATGTATTCAAAGGACTAAAAAAAATTTCAATGAATGATGTAGTTACATTTACTAGACGTATCAAATTTAAATGCAAAAGCACATCCTTGTCATATACCTCGAGTGACTGAAAATATAAATGACAAAAAACAGTCAAACAACTTGCCGAGCTGATATTGTCTTGATTCTTCTTGACTCTCTCTATCTCTGGAGTGATGCTCACAGCAGTAGCTTTGCCAGGCTGCTCTCTGTAGTGAACCTATTAGTTAACAGAATAAAATGGTATATACTATATAAGCTAAAGCGACATCGAATTGTATTACATTAAAATGCATGATTTAAAAGGTCATCCAGGAAACAAATGAAAAGCTGAAATGCGTTCGAAGCTTATTAAAACTTATAAAATTTGTTTTTTGAAGCACAGCCTTGAATTCTTTCTGTAAAGTCTTCTTATTAATGCATTTATGTGAACATGCACACAGATGCACACAATATCTCAACATTTACCACCTTGGTCTTTGGCAGTACAGAGAAATATCTTCTATTTGAAATGGAGTAAACCACAAATAATATAATAAACTCACACAGAGCAAATGAAAAACCTGAATTTCAGCAGCAAACACTGTAAATGTGTATTTTTCCACACACAAAGATTCCATAAGGATATAATTCATGTTTTAACTTACATACTCTATATATTCAGCCACACTAAATATAGATGCTGATGGAAGTCTCACTAAGGAGAAAGGCTCGTCAACAGGGTACAACTTCTGCAAGAATGCAACTGCACATTCCAAAATTCCCTACCTTCTTCCACATGCTTCTACAAACATTATAACTTTCTAATGTTTTCTTCAGCCATTAAGCAAACTCTGATAGGAAAGTTAGAGAGGAGCCAGCCTCTTGCCAGACAGGAGAGAACTGGATTTTGAGTTTTACCCATTTAAAAAAAAAAAAAAAAAAAAGGCTGGATAAAGAATATTCTGTAAAAAAAAATCTGTTAAGATTTCCTGCAAATATCCAAGACATTATAATAAAAAACTGCAGCCATTTCTTCAACTGAGATGTGATGTTTTACATGCTATTTTCTGAACAGAAGAGTGGCTTTTCAAAACTGCTTCCTAAAAGAGGGTTTTCAAATAATTCCATTACTGAGCCTGCTAACTAAAGAAGAGGTACAGGTTCTGGAGGCAAAACTTTACACTGATTCTGTGCACCCAGCAATTATGCAAAGGAATAAATGAGAGAAACTTCCCATGCTGACATTCTCTTGATTCCTCTTGACTCTTTCAATCTCCGGAGTGACACTTACAGGTGTAGCTTTGCAGAGCTGCTCTTTATAGTGAACCTAGTAAATAAGGCAAAAGGTATTACACAAAGACTTCCAAGTAACAGGAGTACACCAATGCATTAGAAATCATTACAGAGCACACTACATTTGGCTGGAAAATATCATTCTTAGTAAACACCATCATCTTTCTACCTCAATACTTAAGACTGACCCTACTGTAATTTTTCTGTTTCAAAGGTGAAAAACTGATGTTTCAATAGGAATGTTTCACCCCCAATGATGTTAGTTAAAGTGCAAGGCTAAGGAGTTAACATCTTAATTATTAATTGATTAAATTAGTCTTTGTGGACAAACAGAAACCAGCACAAACATCACACACATATTCACTGAGGCTCCAACACACAATAAAGACTGCAAACAGTGAAAACAGGGCACACATTGCTTATATTCTTCTGGTTCTCCTTGATTCTCCTTAGTTCAGGTGGATCAGAAATAGGAGTTGCA